GGGTTTAGGGTTTAGGGATCTAGTAAGTAGTAGAATGCCTGGATACCAATCTAAAATGTCAGGTCTACCAGGTCTTCTGAGAATTCCACATCAATGCTCGACATTCAAAAAGGTGCATGTTCAGTATAGTATGCATCGCAGCTTGAACTTTGAGACTGTCAAAAGAGGGTTGGGTGGGAAGTTCTGAGACTGCCAGTCTGTTCCTGAACAGTAATGAACCCGAGCCCTGAAACCGCTGCTGTAAACCCTAAACCCTACATGCTTCAAGCTTTGCACCGCAGGGGCGGCTAAGATCAGCGAGCATGTGCTCTCCCAGCTTGTACGCTGCCCAAAGTATTAAGCTCCGTTTGAAATAGAACCTCAACAATCAATGCCCGTTCCGTACCTAAACCCTAAACCCTAAGCCTTGACTGGAACAAACAACCTACACAACGCCAGGGCGCACTTCAGAAAGTTTGGGATTGTTGGGTGCGAAGGTTCAGCCACAGGACCGCAGATACGGCCAGTTGGGCACTAACAACCTCCAGGAAGGATCGTATGGCAGTGATATTACTGCTCTGGAAATGCCCGTTTATGTTCATGGCCTTGTCTACCCAACGGCTCCTGTGTATATACCTATTCCTTGAGTTTGTCATGATTTTCCTTATCAAGGATCATTACATACTAAGTCCCTAAACCCTATGATTTAGGGTTTAGGGTTTGGGGTCTAGGGTTTGGGGTCTAGGCTTCAGGAGAACTTCAACTAGGTGACCCTGAAGAGGAAATATGATTACTTACTTCATCATCCCGTAATATTAACCCTAAACCTTACATGCCCCGTATATCCCTACAGACCCTTCGAAGCGAACAGTTTAGGGTAATTGATTTAAGGTCCTTGAATCCATATATGTATATATATATATATATCTACATACAACCCGTACATAACCCAGTGTACAGTTCATTGTGCGTAGTATTGCCCATTTGCTTCTCCATTATTACCCTAAAAACCTATCTCTCCCTATGTGCCCCTATATCCCCTCCCTGTTTTACGTCCCATAGCAGCGCCCGAAACCGTAACCCAAAGACCGAGGAGGGGGCGTCTTGCCGTTGAAAATAGACAGGAAGACCTGTTCCAGGTCTGAGCCTTGGCGAGGGTAACACGCAATAGCAATAGGAGTAGTTGGAGATTTGGGAGGGGGGGGTGGGAGTGACTGACAGAAACTAACTTTGCTGCCTCCCTGCCTCCCAGCACAACTTGATGCTACAAATGAGCTATATTCTTAACTTTTAGTATCCACCTTGATATCCCCTATAATACTCGCCTGTATAATCCCCTATAGAACCCCCTTAAGGAGTTTAGACTACAGCCCATATAACAACAAGGCACACCGTATAAACGATGTCATTCATGCAGGGTCGGAAGTGGTCGTAGTCTGGGGCGCACATAAGGCAAGTTAATCAGTTGGCTTCAGAGCCCTAAGGAGCCCAGACATCCTGAGAATAGATCCTGTGAAGTCCTGTGCATGTTCTCTTTACATGCTCATATGATGGGGCCTTCTCAAACGGAGTCGCAGCAGCAATCTGATAAGTCCGCATACGTCTGAACGACGAGGCCCGGTCTCATCAGCAAAAGCCCCTGGATGGCTTTCTGGATGTCCTCTCTGCATCGAGCAATGTTGGAAGACCATCTATCTGTGGTTCCAAGGTTCGGGATTTCTGGGCTCCAACTATACCAACTGGATCCAAAAGTGTATAACTCCTATTACAAAGCTGTTGTCCTGATGTATCTGGGTACTTTGTACATATCTCCTGTGCCCATACATTACTATGCTGTTATTGGCTGCCATATTAACTAGAGGGCGGGATTCGCACACTTGTAGGCTCAAAGTTCAGTCGCTACAAGGCTACTTGGTTCTGGTGAATAGGGCGATGTAATAGCTATGGCTACCCTGTAAGCCCTGTGCACACTAAACAAGCCTCCCCCCCACCACATAAAGAAACCACAAAACACTGAACCTGATTGGCACCCGCCACTCTTCAACCCTATCCCCCCACCCCAAATCACAAAATCTTTGAACTCTGAACCCGATGGTCTGCAATCCTAAGTTGAAGCCTGAAGTTTGACACCCTGTCAACAGAATTTGCAAACAGCTCCCCAGCGCATGGTATGGACTGCAGGAATAGATTACATGGATCATCTGATACGGGGGGGCGCTATATAGGGACTAATTAAGAGAGGGATCCATTCATTCCTTCCGTACTCAACACCAGGTAAGACAAAGTAAGCTCAAAACTCACAAGGCTCTTCCTCCCCAGCAGTACCTTGCGTGCCCTACAATATGTACGGGCTCCTGCGTTGAAACCGGCTGAAAGCAACTGGCGGTAAAATCCAAGCCCTAAGCCCGCACAGGGGAAGGGGTTACCAACCTGAACCCCAAACCCTAAAGGGTTACACCCCATGCGCTTGGAACCGCTCCTTGAGCGTGGCTGTGATGACGCGAGTCAGGCCATTGAAGCGAGTGAGCTCCTGTTTGTCCATTTATATTAAAGGTTTAGGGTTTAGGATTTAGGGTCAGTTTTGGATGTATCGGCGCACATAGTCTGCGGATCACGGCTCAGAGTATACAGGCATACAGGTATAGGACTTAGGACTCAGGATGCAGCAGTTGGGCTTGCGAAGCCTCGTCCTTAACAACCAGTAGTATGGTTACAGCTCTGAGTTTTACACTTGGTGGGCGGTGGACTGCCGCTCGTGTACATAAACTGTCAACCCACACCCTCTCCTAACTAAGATGGAACTCCCAAAGCACAAAGACCATAGCTTCAGTAGGTTCATGTTTGCAGAAAGAAGGCAGCATCACTCAAACACAAGAAATCTTCAAAAAGCCAAACCGGTTGACAAACCATGAACACGACTCAATTGAGCATGACTGACAACACTTCTACGTTGAGCTACAGAAATATGAGCTGATTGGGAATGTCTCGAAAGTAGGTGCTTTTCCTTCTTCTTGGTGTACCCAGTGTGGTGGAAGGTCAAGGCCATTAACCACACTACAAAACCTGAGCTCATAGTGCTGGCCTGAATCAGGACAGTGTTCATGGACTCCTCGTACATGGTAGGATACCTTGGCCGCGACATCAAAGCGGAAGCCACAACAGGGATGTTTAACCAGCGCCACTCCACATACACCAAACCTTCTCGGATTCTCTTATATATAAAATATATACATATATGTATTGTGCGGACCACCAAAATAGATGGACCGGCTATGTCCCATAGTCTCCCTCAATTAAGTCGAAGTGACCCCACACAAGCAGGGGAGAATAAGGTTGAGGGTGTGATAGCGGAATCCATAAAATTTCCGCTGGGAAGCAATGAAGGACACCAGGGGGGATGGGGACTAATGCACCAGCTGTACATGGCTATGCGGTACATGTTGCCAATACGAAAGGACATTGAGAGATCGTACTCCTAATCAATGAATTTGCAGCTCAAAGCTGGCACGGAAAGTCAGAGGCACTCAGCCCTTAAATTGCGACGTTGGAGGTCACTTTTTAATCCTGAGATGCAAGCCCCGAGCTGTAAACGTGTTTTGGCTGGACTTCCTTTTGAAAAAGGCTTTCTTCGAAGTATAACTCCTGCTACACCTTCAGCATAACTACATTTGTTCCCGCATTTCATCTGCTGCAGGATTGCGATGTCTCCAGGCTCCCGGCCTCTTCTGAACTTCTGCTAGGTCGAACTGACCCGGGAGACGGCGCAAGATGTCGGTGGCGGCCTGGCTCTTTTCCAAGGGTCCATACGCCTATCTAGTATGTGTATATGTATATATGTATATACACATATATATGTATGTGTATATATATATATGTATGTACATACATACGTACTTGAGGCCCATGACGGTTCCTAAATGGGCACTTTCGGGGATTGCGCCTTGGGCTTGACTTCAAGTTCGTCTACAGTTTCGTCAGCGAGTTGCATGTATCTGAAGGGGTCGCTCAAAACTGAAGGTATACTTGCTTCTTCCAAAGATTTCCTGTAAGAGAGTTCTCTATGTGGTGGGTTTCCCTGAATGAACTGTACAAAATAATGGAGCATCACATGGAAAAAAGTGAAAATGACATTGAAACTGTGGTTATACAGGGGTGTATAGGGAATAGGGTTTCCCACACTTTTTTTAGGGTCCCATAGTACAGGTTTTGGATTTAGAGATGCTTCTGATTGCTTGTCAAGCTTGTGAACTTGCCAGCTTTGCTGCGTCATGTGGCCTCTCCCAGCAGAAGCAAGTGTCTAACCCCCCTAGTATCCCCCTTAGTAAGTCCCATAAAAAATCCCCGATATATCCCCCTTTAAGCAATTTACACTTCAGCTCAAATGTTTTAGCGCTCATGACTTGACAGGCGCCATCCTATACGCAGCACAGCGCCTGTAGATAAACTCGATCTACCTACACGTGTGATCATGCTGCGGCCCTGGCTACTAACCATCCAAGACCACAGACATTTGTTTCAATTCAGAAAATGGGAGGAGCCCCTCATCTACCAACGAAATGCCATCATCCTGCCTACAGAAACGCTTCGAAAAAAAGGACCTCAAATCCTGAAAAGTCCGAACCCTATACCTTAAACCCTAAATCCCTAAACCCTGAATGCTCAATCCTAAAAATCTAAGCTCTACACCCCCAATCCTACTCCCTAAGCCTTAAACTGTAAATCAACCCCCAAGACCCTTAATCCTAAAGTTTAAACCCCCAAACCCTCAATCCAGAACCCCTAAAAACCCCTAAATCCCAAAACCCCAAACCTCTACCCCTAAACCCTAAGCCCTATATAATCCCATTGTAGTAGTTTCCATTTTCTTTTCCATTCTCCCAGTGCCTGAACCCCTGAAGAGCTCACTGATGCTGTGAACCCAGCCTCGCCCACAGTCTCTTCTGCAGATGAACCCCCGCTGCCGGAAGCCTGCAGCGTGGTGTGGCGCTAGGCTTTAGGGTTTAGGATCTATGGGGTTTAGGGTTTTGGGGTTTACTGTTTTAGGGTGTAGGGTTTTAGGGTTTTTGGACTGTTTTGGGTTTAGGGGCTTGGGGGTTTAGGGTTGTAGAGTTTAGGGTTTTTGGGTTTAAAGGTTTAGGGGTTTGGAGTGTGAGGGTTTAGGGCTTCAGGGTTTAGGGAATTCTGAGAATGCCTCTATTACTAAAGGTGTTTATATTGGGTTGTAGGGTTGTATAAATAAGGGTTGATGGGCTATATGAGGGGTATGTAGAGATACATAAGGTTTAGGGATGCTTGCCCTTCAAGAATTGTGAAAGCGAAATAGAAGGGAACATGGACAATGAAACGCGCCAGACCTTACAACTAGACCGGGTTTTCGGTCAGTTTCTTACATCCACCAGCCCACACACTCATTCTTGCACGCAGAAACAAGAGACCAAAAAAAGGAGCACCACCTAGACCTCCCAAACACCCATGATAATGGCCTTGTACATCAGTTAATAGGGACACAGCTGATATCCATAAACTATACCATGATACAACACTACAACCCTGTATGACACTTTTATAAGGTATTTGGCAGTTTCCACAAGTATTGGACCCACGTGTGGGCCCAACTATAATCCTCATTATTGGGACTCCCAAGAAGAAACCTCTGATGTGTGGAAACTCCTATTTGGGGGCCCTAAACCCTAAATCCCTAACCCCTAATGTAGGGAAAACTTTTATTGGGGAGCCCTAAACCCTAAACCCCTAATGTAGGGAAACTCCTATTTGGGAGGTCTAGGAAGCAAAGCTGCCTGGCCCACTGTGAGCAGGAGGCTATCCATCATGGCCTCAGCATGAACGTGGTGACGGTTTAGGGTTCAGGGTTCGAGATTTAGGGTTCAGGGCTTAGGGGTCAAGATTTAGGATGTAGTATTTACGGATTCAGGTTGAGGGTTTAAGATTTCGGGCTGAGGGTTTAGGTTTCAATACTTTGGGTTTATTATTCAAGGATTAGGGTTCAAGATGACAGGTTAATTAGGGTGTAGGGTTCTTTGCGGTTCAGGGTGCATCTTGGAGATCACTGTAATTGTATCCTATGAAACCCATCTGTTTGATAACAATCTTCTGCACAAGTAGAATAAGAATGACACTAGCCTCGCAAACTGCAGGGGGAGTTGAGAAGGAGTATCTGTGTGCTAACGAGAGGGAAATGCCGATGGAACATGCACAGAGTCTAGGACTGGGAGTCCGCGCATGAAGCATTTCTTTTATTGCGAGTGGGAGCCTTGCAAGATTGAAGGCCCAGGTGTGCCAAGGTTGTGTATCTAAACTTCTACAGCGCCCAAGTAACTGACACTGAGTTGCTGGAATGCCCATGCAAGAAGCAACCCATGGAACATTGAACTCCAAGATGTTGTGCATCTGGGTTGAACTCGCGGCACAGAAATCCGATCTTAAAAAGACTACCACCACGAGTATTGAGTACAGCACAACAGCTATGGAGTGCCAGCAACACCATTCACAAAGACTAGCCCTTCAGATGCTCCAAGAAGGGGTACTCAACAAACCCAGCCCCAGTCCCTTCAATGCTCCTGCTGCTAACTCAAAGTCATATTGTGGGTGGTTGTCAAAATTATGGTCCCTTTTTGGATCGCTATTATAATACGGCACCTAATATTTAAGGTACCCAACAAGGGACCATAATTTTGACAACCATTTTTGTGACAGCTTCTCTGAAGTAGGCCCCTGCACCCCGGCAACACGTTTATCCCCGAATGGAAATCAAATCAATCATTCGCAGGCGTACTTGCTCACTTGTAGCAGGAAAAATTGTGAGAATGGAGGGGAGAAGGGGGGGAAACTACAATAGCATCGCGGTTTGTGTAGGGGCTATTGGGATCCAGACCTCCATTCCCCACTACTTTAACAAGCAGTGAGATTAGCACATCGACATTATGAAGCAGGGACAGGTCTGCGGAGGCAGGTGGTCTCCTCCAAACCTTCCCTGAATTAATCCTAGGGGTCCAAGGACCCAAATAATAAGGCTTCAGGGCCCTAATATGAATATTACAGTAAAGAACCCTACGATTTGGGTCCTTGGACCCTTAGGGTAAGGGCTTTCAAAAGAGAGGAAGTCCAAGCAGCATAGGTTTCATTCTGCTCCCGGGTGAGGTTGGCGTTGGCATGGAAGCCTGCTTCATTGAGCTTTTCACCGTCCCCTTAACCCTAAACTTCGAAAAAGCTGATGGATCCTGGAGCTATGTTGGTCAGCGCGATCTCTATGACAAGTCTGACGGACATCAACATTATGCCCCTGATGCAAGTCACATTCGATGGCCGAATCGCGGAGCGTATCGCGGTGGATTCCCCTTGTGACCACGGAGGAGTAGGAATACATGATAGAGAAGTTTCTACAAGCTGCTAAATTGTACTCCTCTAGGCCCCACCATACCTGTTTGTCACGATAAAAGGAGACGGAATCTAAGTCTAAGCCCCCCTTCCTCCAAACTATGTCCCTTGTTCTCACGAGCACCTGTAGAGAGACGGGATTTGACGTTGCTACAGCCCCAATATACTATATCATTATAATAGTTTCCATTCTGTTTTCCACTATCCCAAAATAATCCCAATATTATCCCAATTCATTGTAGTTTCTTTTCCATTATCCCAATACAACCCCAATATTATCCCAATATTATTGCACTTCTCGCCAAGCCTTAACCCCAAACGCCATTCGTATTCGCAGCACATGCAACGCTAATGGGAAGTATGATTATTGGGAATGAAAAGTAGGCACGCTGAAAACGGACTTGTAGTAAGAGCTATAGCTTTATTGTAGGACATTCTTGTCTGAATGAAAGTCTAATTCACGCAGGTCTGAAGCGGGAAAGAGGATGAAAGTATTCAAAGCCCTGGCGTGAAAGCCTAAAATTCCTCAATGTGATACTTAGTACAGGGTCCTGAGGACTTGGTATGATTTTTCCTTATGATCTGTCTACCAGGTTTAGGGTTTTCACTTGACAGACCCCTTGACTACCCGCTCACCCATCGCGCACCGTAAATACCCGGAGGCGTGATCATGGGTGTCTGCCGGATGTTCTCCATCGTCTCCTGCAACATGTGAAAACAGTA